AAAGAATCAAACACATTTGCTATACTTATATGGTAGAAGCTTAAACGCTTTTGAAATTATAAAGTTATTAAATTGTACAACCTGTATCTCATCGATATCATGAACAGGCTCAAGAAGCAAAAATTAAAGAAGCACTCGGAAAATTCATAAAATTCTCCAGTTTTAAAAAACAGGAAATGAGCAAATGATACATGTACATTCTGTGCTTAAAAAATTAACAATTCAAAATGACATTTAAGGCAAAAACTGAAATTAGGAAGAAATAAATAGTACTACAACTTTTAAGTTTTCTTTAATTGATCAATGTAGCATTCATTAGATATTAGTATCATTCAAACAAAACTCTAATTAAATATTTTAATAAGGATATGACATGATTTAACCATTTAGTTATAGAAAAGTGAGTCATCAATATAATTATCAATACCAATTTCCACATAAACACAAACTTAGTGACCATTTTTCAGTTGCGTGAATTGACATTGCATCAAGTATCCAAGCACACACATCACCTTGCCTTGCCATCTTTCTTTAGTACCTTTCCTTAACTTTCAAAGCATTCAAGGCATCCATGGTAAATCAACTGTCTCCATCTATAAAATTAGACCTTGATCAGAATTGCAAAATTTCGTGTTTTGCCAGCTAGAAGCCGCTAATAAGTCAAAAGGTTCATAAATAATGTAAACATCATGGTAAATATAACGCACAAGTACGGAAATGCCTAGTACAACAAAATGGCCTCAGATATTGCGGGAATGTCATTATTCCAGTCATAGTTTATACTGTGTTTGTCCCATTTTGCTATAGTAGTCTAATTCGTAGTGTCCACATGTGAAATTCGTAGTGCCCATATGTCATATATGAAAATTTTACAGTCAAAATTTTAATGTTAAAGCCGTTTTATGAATAAATAATTAACATATGAAAATGTAAAACTTTACATGTGAAACTGAATTTTCATATATGAAATGCACCTCTCGGGCAGGTGCAACCCTCGACCTTCTGTCTCGAGCTTGCATAGATCCAGGCGCGGATCTAAGCCGTGTCAACTGGGTCAACTTTTGTCTAAAAATAAAACCATTTTACTTCTCAATTTCTATTTAATTTTTATTTGTGCCATGAGAGATTTTAGTGCCTAATTTATCATCAAAGCTGCGTGGAACTTCATTTGATGAAATATAGTGAATAAATTGTTAGTCAAATCACTTTTAGAATCAAATATTTTCGTAAAATCGCCCAAATTACTGCATTTCGTCTTCCAAAGAAAAGGGGAAAACCATTTAGTTCTATAGTAACTGCAAGGGGAAAGAGGCCTGGACCCCGTGGTCAAAACAAGCGGTAATGGCGAATTTTGGTGGTTAAAACTTCCACTTTAAAGATTTCTTTCAATATTCACTCTTTCCTGATTTACAATACTGTTTATATGAACGATAACAAGTGAAAAAAACAATTACGATACCGACAACATATCATGTGAAAATAATGCCACATTAAAATATAGTAGTAGAAATACTCTTCAAGTATCGTGTTAAAAACAAATTAGTAAAACTACTACTGTGCTACTTACCGGAGTCATGAAATGTTTCCTTTTTCGTCGCTATTTCAGCATCCGCAAACCACGGAAGCTTGCAGATTGTTTAATAAATATAATTTTAACAAGTGCTTATGTTAGGAAAATAGTTTTGATATTTTCTATAATCCCAATCGTGGTGGTCAAATCAGGGTGGGCGACAAAATTTTTATTTCATGAGCTCGCGTCTCACCGCTATTTTTGACCACCAAAATCCGCCATGTTTTTGACCACGCGGCCGCGCGCTAATAATTTATAGTAATTTTGTTGACGTTTCCCCTCCAGGTCTTATAGAACTCAATGGGGAAAACACGCTGCGGTTAATATAATGTTCATAATCAATTATTGTAAACAACGAAAACTTTACGAGATATGACCGTCTTGACTCAAAGCTAACCTTTTAATTGTGTAATATATTTTGAGCCACTTTGTCAGAAGTATTGCGCAGCCATGTCAGGAGGTTTTATTCGTGTCTTCTGATTCGTCAAATTACTGTTTTGAGCCTTTTCATGGGCTGACCGTTTCAGAAATGACTGGATTGTTGCCAATTGCGGTAAAAAACAGCTGCTGACCGTGTCAAAGACCATGTCATGCATGCTGGCTCATAGTCAAAGCCGCCGTAGTCGTTCGTAAGTCATCGCTAAGCTTTCGTACTATATAGGTTTGGAGTGATGACGTTTCCCAAAGTGGCACGAACTAAATTCACAATTGCTGGTGCTAATCAGCTCAGCTATGGCGATTACAAAATTGTGTGTTCTTGTTCAAATTAAACAGATATTTGATGATATTAATGATGGTATTAATTGATGTCTTCGCTCTCGGGCTCGCACTGATCTGCTCTCAAGTTCTCCCAGAGGTCTCCTCAGTTTTCATAAGCCTGTGCAAACACAGTAAACATCTTTTATTTCTTAAGTAATTCCCATATAAAAAGTTAAAATTTCACTTGTGAAACTGACTGTGTAAATGTTATCAGAGAAATTGAGGTTTCATATATGAAACTTGCAATTTATATGTGAGAGTGTAATTTCAGACATGAGCTGTTTTTCACATATGAAAAATTCACATGTAAAGAATTAAATGTTAAATGCGAAACTGACTATTCATATGAGGCATTAAAGTTTCACATGTGAAAGTGTAATTCACATGTGAATTGTTTTTCACATATGAAAAATTCACATGTGAAGAATTAAATGTTAAATGTGAAACTGACTTTTCATATGTGAAATTTAAGTTTCAGATGTGAAAATTTAATTTCATAAATGAAATGCATTCTTTCATATGTAAAAATGTCTATTTCATATATGAAACCAAACGTGATATTTTCGTATGGGGTAAGAAGCGAGATACAGGTTTTTGTGGAAACTACGACATAAAAGAAATGCCTAAAGTGTTGTTTGTTTTTGAAAAATTCTATGTAATTGACTGTAGTCTATAAATACCAGAGGGAGGTCGAGAATATTTTTTCCGCAAAGCTGTTATTTCAACGGAAATATGTCCGTTCGCTGCAAATTTTTTTTGCGTCCTTGCCCCAGTACACTTAGGCGCTCCAGTTATTATAGAGCTCAATAACGCTGAGTCGATTCCAGGCGGTTAGATAGTTATAGGATGTATAGCACCGGAGATAGTGATGCTCAAAATTTTGCCGGTCGGCTTTACGATCATATGCCTCGGTCGCTATGCCAACAATAACCCCATCAAATCGAATGAAACTACTACGATCTGAAATATCGTAGTAGTTTCATTCGCTATAATCATTCATTGAGCTATAATCTGGTGGTGAGTTTTTGATTTTAAGTTGTGTTTATCCAAAGTTACGAGACAATGAAAAAATAGTTTATTGACAACCTACAGAGAACCGGGCGACGCCAAAGAGTTAAAAAAAAATAAGCTATATTAGCAAAATTTAGAACTTTCTTTCTAGCAGATCACAGGCGTCTGACGAAAAGCTTGATGCTAATTATCAGAGCTATTGTAAAATTAGAAAAAATAATTAATTGACAGCCTGGCTGGTAGAGACTGTGAAAATTTAGTGAAGAAATAGGAAATGGAAGCCACACACAAGACAAACATGTATCAGAGGACGACAATTGATCACGACAATTTTTGTGTTCACAGTAACGGGGAACAAAACTATTGACGGTCTTACATTAATCAAAATTGGGACATACAATGGATTGTTTAAGGGATGTTCCACGTATAAAAATTGTCACTACTTAACTTTGCATTAGAATATAGTCCCAAAATATGTTTATATGAACGTATCCATGTCCAAAGCATAGGGGAATATCCAGTTGGACCTCTACGCAACTTGCTGTTGTATATTGAATTAGATTACTGGCTTCCGTTTGCCAGCTAAGCGCCCGACTAGTAAGATAGAGCAATCGACTGGCTGTCACTATGGTAATAACATCCGTAAAGAGAGATGCGTGGCACAAAAAAATCCAAAAGAGTGGCTCCACTGCATGTTCTATACTTTGTCCTTTTCAACACTTATTTGGACTCAAGGCAAAGGAGGCTACGAAAAAAGTATATTTTTGTGTTTCAGATTAATTAGAGGATGATTTTGAAAAATCACATGATTTATTCCGACATATATTTGTCAAAGACTTTCCATGGGAAGTCTTAAAAGTTCTCAGTGGTCCACCGAATGTTGTGTTCACCTGGAGGCATTAGGAGAAATTTGAAGGTCTATTTCGCGGTCGCAAGGGCAATTGAGAGCTTATATAGTTATATAGCTTTCTTTGTGTTTCAGTGACCGAAGATCTAAAGATTCAAATGATTCAAGTGTTCTTTGATCGCTAATCGTTTCTTGATGTATTAGAAGGCAAAATTGATGCAAAGGAAACACGGAATGGTTGTAAATTATTAGGGGATATGGCTCAACCATTCATCAGCAAAGATTGCATCATGAGATGTTGAAACATTATTATATTTTTAAAAAATGCGTCATGTGCACATTGGCAATATTGCTTCCACTCAGTCTTTATGCTCAAAATCTGTTGCTTTATTTAAAATTTATCAGATGCAAAACTTGCTTTTATTAGTTGTTTAAAAATCAGCTAAGTAAATTGGAAAAATATTGAACATCATTGGCATTTGCTCGTGGTAATTTTCTCCGGTCAAAAATTTCGCTGCAAGTAAGACAAACTAGCGTATGTAGTAGCCACGAGACGTCTGTAGTTTTGCTAATTTATTTTGTGCTTTTTAGGGGTTGTTCACATGAGCCCTGTAACCGGGATTCAGCGATGCGTGAAATGATTTTGAGTCATTGAAAAGAGCAAAACTTTAAGCATAAAACTCACAACCTTTTCTTAAGCGTCATAAGTCATTTTAGTTGTAATTTTGAAGTCAGTCTAAATTATTTGTTCTTATTTTAAAGGTTTTGTGAATTTGCAAAGCAGACCATAGAGAAATTGCTCAAATATTTTTTTGTTGTGAAGTATTTCATTTTTCCATTTGCCAAAGTGATTCAATGCTTCAGGGTTACAGGGCTCATGTGGGCAGCCCTTCGAAGTAGTTTGCTACCTCGTTTACGTTCATTGACTCTAATGAGTATAATACTATAACCATTGAGTTCTGTAAGACCTCAATTAGGTCTTATATAAGGTCTTATATAAGGTCTTACATAAGGTCTTATACAATCAGGTCTTATATAAGGTCTTATATAACTCAATGACTATAACTTTTTACCAGGCTCCTATCTTTCTCCTCTACGCGGTATTCAAGATGGCCAACTTTTCCTACTCTTCATTTGTCCGTCGATCTTTTCTGCTGAAAGAAAAGACACTGCTCCTTAGTTATGCTCGTCATTTCAGTTGTACGGTGTACGTAGTTTATTTCATAATCAAATAATACTCGCTAACTGTGTTTACACTTGGGATAAACTTTCTTTAGCGTTTTCTTGATTTTAAGTAAAAGCCTCATCAATGATTTTATTCATTTTGATGTTTTTTGTTCAGAAAACGCAGAAATCCTGATAATGATTCAAAACCGGCAAGCTCACATAGAGTACCATCCTCAATATTTCATGATGAACTTGTGAGGTATGATTTTTTACGTTGTTAAACAGAATATAAAGTACATTGAAACCAAAAGATAGTCCACACGATTTGTTTGATGCACTAGTGCTCAGATTCGTTAAGAATTGTATGGAGCTGTACTTGACCAATTTTCATAGAGTTTCACCCATCACTATCAGTTAAACTGACATGTTTAAATTTTGTGCTACCATTTTATGGCATGGGCTTGGAGGTTCTTGTATATAACATCTTCCCCTATTGTTCTGCGGCTGAGGAAATGAGAAAAGTGGATATAAAGACTTAGTGAGTTTTGCAGTACTGAAATGTGGTGACTTAAAAACAATCTCGCTTGCCCCCCCCCCCGGGAGTAAGAGAATAATGGAATTTTCTTCATGTTGGAAGCTATGACGTAGCTTGCAAACCAAGAATCTCCTGCTTCCTGACCTCTAGGCTGTCTTACTATTACATGTTTAAACTCACACATAGTAATTATTTGCAAACTACAATACCATGCATGTTTCTTCACAAAATTAAGAGATTGATGTCTGTAGATGTCAAGTTATGTTAAGCAACAAGAAAATAAAGTAAATGGTTTGAATTTGGGAGTATCGTTACATGTTTGTAACATTTACAAACATGCAACAAGGAAAGTTGAAAATATGCACTACCACTTACTTTACTATATGGTTACAAACTATACCACTTACTTCGCTACTGCTAGGAGAGAAACAATTTTCTCCTTTTTCATTCTGGAAAACATTTACTTTTTTTGCACAATGTAGCAAGTTTGTCAACACAATGATGTATGATGGCAAAAAGTCAATTTCACAAAGAATAATGCTCAAGGTAGGCAATGTTTAAATTTTTATAGAACGAACTCTTATTACTGTCATATAGTAAAATATTTCTTTCTTTATTATTGAGATGTTTTCCTTCACTTTACCTAAACTCACATTCATTCCTACTGACTTATCTCTTTCTTACAGACATTTGAATGCATCAAGAAAAAACAACTTGTTTTGTAAGTCATCAATAATAAAGTGCATGGTATTCTAGGCAAATGATATTATAATTTATTGACAATCTTCTTTTTATCAAATCATGTAGAAAATCATCAACTAAAAGACAGAGGAGATTCAAACTGATCCTGTGGCCATATTTCATGCAGCAATGTCAAATGCAAAGCCTGTTGTTGGTGTGCAATCCATCAAGAAAGCAGGAAAAACTTATCAGGTGAAGCTTTTCCCATTATTAATCTTGATAAATATTAATTTTAACTAACCAAATTTATTCGAAATGGCAGAAAAAAGTCATCAATTGAACTTTATCTAAAGTGCTAATTGCACTATTGATATTTATATGTTTTAGAAAATCCTTCTCTAAAACAAAAACTTCCATAACTTCTCCTTCGTTATTTTTCGCAGATAAATAAAGACAAGTTGCCTCTCACTTCTTTTACTGAACTGAATATAACTGGATAGCTACCTCCTGTCAAAATTTGAACTCAGCAATTCAACTATCGATAGCCTTAGTAGTCTTTTCACATACTGTATAGGAAAGTTCATATTAGCAGTGAAATAAAGTGAGGTACTACAATTTGAAGGCCTTATAATTTCGCTTATTTTAGCCAAGGTAGCATTCCACCAGTCATACATGCAGTTCAATTGTAGGCTATTGAAAGATCTATATTTGCAGTGGGGGGTGGGGTGGGGGTGTGCTCAAATTCATTTATGCAAAGGAACTTAATTTGGCAAATCTTGCACATATGAACATGAGGCCCCTTCCTGAATTATTGATCTTATTATGAGCCTGCAATCATTTATGTCAAGATGAGTCCCAGTGAGAAATCTATATTCTAATATAAATTTGGCCATTCCCGATTTCTAAGGAAATTTCCTTGCTCACTAAGCCTCAATAATTTAACTCAAATTACCAAACTCGGGACTAATCACAACTTTTTACAACTTGTGTGTGTATTTTATAGGTTCCTACGCCATTGACACCCAGCCGACAAAGATTTCTAGCAATGAAATGGCTCATTGCTGCAGCGCGAGACAAACCAGCTTCTAGAAATGCTAAAATGTACGAGAAACTTTGTCAGGAGCTACTGAATGCGTACAATAACGAGGTAAAAATGATCGTACATGAAGTATAGGTAGAAACGTCCATATAATTGGAGCTGGCAACATTTCACTGGACTATATCAATGATTGATTAATTACGTTAAAAGTCACTTGCGGATTGACTTTTCCCTCGTAAATATTCACCTTACTTCAGCTCACTTTCACCAGTCACTTATAGCACGACGCGACTGAATTTAAAAGGTTTTAAGCTGTTGGGGGTTAGAGGATCGTGAGCAGGAGGAACAGAAGCACCTGCAAGACCACCATCACTCCGAACAAAACGTATTAATAACTTGATTTCCAGCCAGTACGTCATCAATGTTTATAGAATAAAAACAATAAAACGCGCGCGCTGATTGGTCTAAAGCTGTGTTTGCATCAGCCTCTGCACACCGATCTGAGCTCAACCAATGAAATCAATCAAGCAAAACAATCATGAACGCACGTTACAAGAATATCAAAACGTTCGCATTAAATTTGTCTGTTTTTGATTATTGTTATTTTTATAAAAGAAATGATGTTTTCATGTTTGCATTCTTGAGCAGTGGCAATCCTCGACTTTACTTCGGGCTTGAACTGATCAGCTCTCGAGTTCTCCTCGGTTGCCCTCGGTTGCATAAGCCTGAGCAAACACAGTAAACATCTTTTATTTCTTACGTAGAAACCAAAAAAGTAAGATGTGTTATTGCCTTGTCAAACGAACTAACAGTATATAGCTAGCTGCGCAGCTAAGCCTGATATTCAGATTTCTATGCCGCTGTTGCCGCACCGTTTTGGGTTTCGTCGTTGCTAACGGCCTGCTCGCGGGCTAGCCACAAAATATTTTTTTCGGATATTGTACTCTTGCTTTCAAAAAGGAAATATGTGCTACGTGGGGGAGAATGGTACTAAATGTCGCATGCAACTTTACAATGAGCTAAAAGTGATTTTCGATCACTGATAAACAGGCCTTCCCTAGAACGTTAATTGGCGCGGGGTGTTTTATTATTCAGTTGTGCTCAAAATATTTCTTTCGGAAGCAATTTACCGAAGGTGTTAAGCAAAAATGTACACCCCCGGCCAAATCAACCATTCTCTTTTGATAAATTATACTTTGGTTGAGTCCTGCTTTGCACGAATAGAGAAATACCTAAGCGATAATTTAAACTGGAATTCACAATTTTTTCTCTTTCATTTAGGGAACTGTGGTGCAGAAAAAACGAGATCTTCACAAACTAGCTGAGAACAACCGAGCTTTCGCAAACTTCCGATGGTGGTAGGGACAAAGTTTTAGAAATAGCATAGTGGAAGAAAAATCTGTGTATTTTGTGAACCGTGGCCACTGGCCACCAACCGCCCGCCCATTGGGGAGCGAAGAAAAACATTGACTGTCTAGGGTTTGCTTCTTTGGATTTTTGCCTTGACTGCTTTTGTGGCACAATGTAAAGTAAAAAATATTTAATTCGACTTTGTGGAATAGAAATATGCAGACATCGGTATTATTTCACTTCGGAAACTGACCTGACCTCGGTCTGAATGATTCTGTTCCTGGCTCAGCCTCATCCAAGAATTCCTAAAGGTCAAGCACTGGTCGAATTAAATTTGCATAATCATTTGTTGTCCACAAAAATAATGTCAGTCCTTACTAATCAAGCGACCGATTTGCTATGCGTCTATTGGAAAAGTGGAATTAGGAGGAGAAATTTTTTTCAAGTAGAGTTTTCAATTCGAGACTTCATCATATTATGTGGTTATAATAATTGAAATTTTTACATTCAATCACAGATAATTGTGAATAAAATACGATTTTCACAACAAGTTTATACTTGTGTTTTCACAGATACACCTGGGGTGGATCGTACGAAACTGTGATCTAACGATATGAACTGGATAGTGATTTTTCTAGAAAACCTTTAAGTTATGATTCAAACCAAAGAAGTGCTGAAATGAAAAGTTTGATTAATGTATACCAAACTTGCTTTTCGAGATGAAAATTTACAACTATCCGGTCAACATCGTTAAGCGGGCTTGAAGAACTCGACCATATCCGCCATATTATTTTGTTCCTTTGCTCATAAATAAAATTTAAAATTTCACTAATGTTAATGTAGTCTACGTAGATCACACTCGTTGAATTTCGAAAAGCTTTACATCTGTGTCGTACCATATTGGAGGGTCGATGTTTCTGAAGAAAACACAAACAATTGTCACTTTTTTTGAATGACTGAGAAGATATGGAGAAAAAGCTGAAATCTTCTTATAATTATAATTTTTTAAAGTTCGATCTCTTGTTCACTAGATTGGATTTTCATATCAGATCACTCCTGATGAAGAAACTAGACTGGAGTATTCAAGGACTCAAGTTTCAACATCAGACACTTCTGATGAAGACGCTAGACTGGAGTATATAAGAACTAAAGTTTCAACATCAGATCATTCCTGATGAAGACACTAGAATGGAGTATATAAAGACTAAAGTTTCAACATCAGATCACTCCTGATGAAGACACTAGACTAGAGTATATAAAGACTAAAGTTTCAACATCAGATCACTCCTGATGAAGACACTAGACTGGAGTATATAAGAACTAAAGATTCAACATCAGATCACTCCTGATTAAGACACTAGACTAGAGTATATAAAGACTAAAGTTTCAACATCAGATCACTCCTGATGAAGACACTAGACTGGAGTATATAAATACTCACGTTTCAACATCAGATCACTTTAGATGAAGACACTAGACTAGAGTATACAAGAACTAAAGTTTCAACGTCAGTTCACTCCTGATGAAGACATTCGCACATTTACCAATTATAGCATCAGATCACTCGCGAAACAGAAACTAAACTATGCAGTAAATAATATTTACATACAAAAGGATTAAAACCTTTTATTTCTACCTGAGATAAACAATTCCCCACATGTAGGTACGAAACCACATCTGTGTTCCACTGTTCGCCTTGAATAAAATTTAATGATAAGGTACAACAAGTTAGTAATACTTCATCGTGTGAAATTAAGAAAATCCAAATTCAAACAGGGTTCGTACGATGCTAATGTACAGCCACTTTTGCAAACGAGTGTTATGTTACAATTTCAAATATACTTTTGAAAATAAAGTTGTGCGTGCAATGACATGTTAAAAAAATCGATCAAAAAAATTTAAACTCATGCACTTTAAAAAGCCTTCAATTTTTTCAATACATAAAATTTACGGATATTAAAAGACATTCAAGCATGTATGAACACTGTTTGAAGAGTAAATTACCTGATATTTTCTGATAAGAATTGGGTGAGGTACAGGCAGCAAGCCGACCAAAGTACCATGTTGAAGAAATTTCAATATTTCCGATTCATCTGTTAGCCCTCTAAAGTTTAAAAGCATGGCAAAATTGCTCGTTTCGTCAAAGGACTTCGTAGAGAATGCATAACTAACAATTATACACGACAATTTTAAAGTTCTTTTATTTCGAATAAAAAATATCTCAGCGTGCAACCAGAGGCCAAACTGATCAAACATATTTAGCTAAGTTTAGAACAATTAACCCCAGAAAAAACGAGGTTTTTGGAAAAATGGCTGAAATCCACCGTATTATCAGGCCTCGAAATAACGGCCAGTCAAAGGACAATTGACGGGTCAAAAGCACTGATATATATGAAGACTGGATAACGCAACTTAATTCTGGTGCCTAGAAACTTTCGAAGCCAACTTTGACTGCGGCGGCCATATTGGACTACCCACTTCTAGTATGTATTTTACAATGAATTTTCTAGTAGTTTGTATTTTTGCCATTTTATATTTCTGAAATCATGCCAAATCGTTTATTATGACATTTAAGCAACGTGAAAAGATTCCATAAGAAATTTAGAGAACATGGGTTTTCGACCAATACCGTTCTATTACAGTCTTGTCATCATATTAATTCTTTTTTGTCCCAAGAGTAAAACATATGATCCAAAATAAATGCGAGAGTAGCAGTTTGTTATATAAAAAGTATATAACACACTGAAAAAGTGGATAGTCCAATATGGCCGCCACCCGGCTTCAAGTCAAGCACTAAGTTGCGTTATCCAGTCTTTATACATATCAGTGATCAAAAATGACTATTGACCGGAAATTTTTTAGCTTGCCTGTCATTTTGACCTATCACAATTCCAGATCTTCCACAACAATTATTAAACTGATTTTCTTTCAATGTTTTTTTGATTATTATTTGAAGCATTCAACGTCAACTATTGTAGAGAAAAACCGTGTTTACTTCCTAGTTATGTACTGGATGATGAGAATCAGTAGACTGAAAAATATTTTTTACGTTATCACTATCACCGAACACAATATGTTATTTTGAGCATTGCAGTATGTTCAAGGTAGAGTTTAGCAGGAACTTACAAAAAAGGCTTACATTTTTATTTGTAAAAACTTATATTTTTATTTATGCATGCGAAACGATTTTTTTATTTTTAGCAATCTGATTGGCTGCAGCAGTGGTTAAAAAGAGATACTTTTTTCGCAATGTATTTGTTTACGAAGTGGCGAAATCATTAGCAGAAGTAAACACAAGCGCGGAAGGCATTACCGTGAGATTCATTCTTTAAGATATTCAAATATTAGTGCAGCTGTTAATGACAAAAAAAAACACCTAACCCTTCACTATAATGATACAAGTATGAAACTTTCTCAGACGAGATGACTCCGAACTTTTTTTTAACTACTGAAAACGTCATCAAACACGACATGCGCAGAACGCGTTGTAAATGTAAAATATGGGCTGGTCCTATATCAAAATTTTGTTTTTTGAGGCATGGTAAGACTATAAGAAAGTTTTACCCTTGTATCATTTAAGTGAAGAATTTTGTCATTAACAGCTGTACTATATGATTTAAAAGCGATGTAAACTGTTCAACGAGACAGCAAGTGTATTCAGATGGTAGTTATCACAGCGAAATGGAATTTTACTATTCAGACGAAGTGAAAATTTATAAAAAACAATTCAATTTTAGTCTCAACATCAAGCCGTATCGGCCATTTTACAACGCAAATTTCTTCGCCGCTCGAGCCGCTTTTGTAACCTCGTGCAAATACTTTTCCGTACGGACGTCCCAGCCGCTAAAAAACCTACATTTATTACCGTAAATGACATAATAAACACCCAGAGCGTTTTATAAGTTTTAGCAGTTCGACGAAGGGCGTTAGATAAGTTCTAGCAGTCCAAAGAAGGGCATTAACCCGTCGCTTATCGTCACGTTACTAACTTTCGTGTCCTATAGAAATTTATGTGAGTTTCAAAGAAAACAAGGAAGGAGTTCAACTTTAAAAACAGTCAAACTTTTTATTCAACATCATGTATTGAAACATTCATTGAGTTGGCAATAAGTACAAAACGAAAAAGTAGGCAAAAAATCGTTTTAGGCAAAAGACCCAAAATTGAAAAATATGACTTACGCATGCAGCATGTACGTATAACGTGACAATATTTATCATTTCTATCACCTTGGTGTTAAGATTAAATATTTATTCAAGATTTTGTATAACAATCTATAATAATCGTTAATATTCTATAATACTGATGCTATCATAATGCTAACGTGATAAAGGTGTTTATTAGAGAGGTGTCTACTAGAGAGAGGCGTCTATAAGAGAAGCGTCTAATACAAACTCCCGCTTCAAGGGGGCGTTTATTGGACATTTAAGTTAGTCCCAAAACTGGAGTAGTGGACACAGAACATGATAGAAATGTTTTAGAGAACAATATAAATTTCCTACACTTACTTGTCGATGCAGATTTTTTCCACTTGAGGAACCAGAACTTGAAGCATTCTCATGATTGTCTGAAGTGGAAGCTTCTGTTTCCAAGATTGGATCTACGCAAAGAAATAAATTGAACAATATATTGCTTCGATGAATTAATCTTAAAGGTTTCAACTTCAAGGTTTCATCATGCAATATTAATTATCTGAGAAATTTTTTGAAAGTTTCCACAACATTCTGACTTTTAAATGTGCATGACAATAAAAATGACATAACCACATTTCAAAATCATTTACACTGTGTAATATAGTGTGTGGAGTATCAACTACTTTCTATGCCTCAAGATCATTTTTCACTTCGGGGAAATGTTCATGTAAATAACAATCAAAATTTATGTTTTCTTTACACAACATTTAACCCTTTGAAAAGTTCTCTTAATATGAACGACCCCTGACCATCCACAAAACCAATGGCGTATTATCTTTAAATTCTGAATACATAACCCATAATCCTTTACGAAACATAACTGAAGTATTATAAAACAGCACGAAAGTTATTGCATTCAAAAAATACACTAAGATTTAGTAAAACTTTTAGCTATAATCTTCTGGTCGTGCAGAAACAAATTATTGGTCAAAATAAAATTGAATCTAGTTCCTTTAATGTAATAAAACCGATCATACCCAATCCGAAGTAGCTACGAAAGAACCCGAACTAGACACGGACTGTGATCTACCAATCACTTTTCGATAGGAGCTCTCCTTTGACAGGACGACTGACGGATTAGCTGCTGACCCGAAATCGTTATCACTTGAATCTGCGTCCACTCCAGTTCTGTGAACTTCTTCAACTGAAATGATATAATAACATATGTCGTAATTCTAGCTATTGGTCATGTAATAATAAATAAATGGGTGCAAATTTGGCCAAGCACGACCGCAGGCAAAGACCTGACCACCGTGAGTAGGAACATAGCTAGAAAGTTAATTAGGAAGGGTGGGACGTCTGTTCATTTATATATTCAGTTGCACCCGACTGATTTCTTTTGAAAGTGATTTGGCTTTA